AGCGTATAGTATGCGTATGACACCATTAACAAACGAATGTGTACGTATGCGTATGCATATGCGGTGGTTCCACGTGTAGCTGTGCGAGAAAGAGATCCGCGACCGTCCTAGTTGAGGCATTGTACCACGGCTACCGGCGATAAGGCATGAAATTAAATTCGACGGAATGTGGGTCGTCGTGCCGTACGACTCCTTTCGCTACCCTCTATGTCACATCCTGTCTGACAACAAGAGAGTGCTGGAGAGATACATTGGTAACTACCTATCTGCATGCACACATAGGTATATGTGTATAGGAATGCGTACTATATAGATATCGTAAATGCCGTAACTCCAAATAGTCGCTAAAAGAATATTTTTTAAACTGCCTAAACATGAATCTGTACATTGTCTATACATTGATGCCGTAAGGTGTCCCACGGATCTTGCAAATCGCTTTTCATCTATGAATTTTTTAATTAATTTGGAGTTAATTTGTTTTTTAATTTCTCTCCGATGAACGCATGCGATTACAATGGATCGCAATAGAGTCAGCAACTTATAATTAGCAATTTCGTCGAATCAAAATCGTCAAATAACTATTATATTCTTGCTATTATGACACGTCGCTTTATTGTATTGCGGCGAAAGTACAATTTTCCTTCTTTTTCTCGCGAGCGTAAATTGATAAGATATTTGAATTGCTATTTTAAAATTTTTTTTCTTTTTGAACCATTTAACACGTTTTTCGCGAGACACGTGAATGATTGTGATCGCTGTGAAACGCCAGAAGTGTATTTAAAAAAAAAAAAAAAATGGAACACACTGTTTCAGATATCTCGATGCCGTATGATGTACTATCGGACTGAAAACAAATAGCTTTGGAGATACACATGTATTCTATAGACAGTATGTCGGAATCTAAAATAGATTTTCTCTCTTGACGAAAATCAATAATTTTCCAATTGCCAATTGCAGATATACAAACGCAATGTCTTAGTCTTTACTTAACTTTAAGTAAATTTCATTTCAATGAAACTTTTAGTATCGAAAATTAAGAGTGCGATGAGAAACATGACGTTCTCTATCATATTTTCATTGAGAAAATATTGAGGAAAGGTATTGATGGAAGGAAGTAGATTTATAAAGGAAATATCGATTAAGATCAAGGTCGGAAATTTTGGGACATACAATCGAGATGTGCGAATCATCTTTCATAATTTGAACATATAATATGTGCCGTTATCGCCAAGTGCTCGTTACATTAGGCACCGTGCCATACGCATCCATTGGCATTAGTCGACCATATACGCATTCGTTTAATTGAAATATACGCGCAAGTAAATATTACGTAATTGCGCTATCGGCTATTGTGGCCTGGGATCGTCATAATGCACACGACTGAGCGTGAGAATAAATTCGAACTTTTATTCCGTATTCACGTGAAATAATCAAACGTGGCAGGATTAACTTGTGTTTTAATTAAGAATGACGGATAAATTTAAGTTCGTAATTAAAACAGATTTTCCTGCGGCGGATACTAATCCAAAAATGTTCTCTAATGTAGGGCATACGAAATAACTACGAAGGAAATACGATTGGACCATATCTCTGGATTGTCCGATTTTTACGGGTTAAATCCTCTCGGTAATATTCTCAATATAATAGTGATCCACTATTATCAATGTCTGAAAGTATTATAAAATACTATTTTCGTTTCACGTTTAATTTAATGAAAGAGCAGTGATAGAAATTATCAGTTTTATTTATACTATTTAATATCATTTAATACTATAGATACTAAATACCACTTGGTATATTTGACGGCATGTTTAACTTGTAGTAAAATTTTAAATAAAATGTACGTAACACTTTTTCATTTTTATACGTGCTTAAAGATGTAATTACCAACTTGGATCAATTTTAAATATTTCAATTGCGTGTCAAATATATTGCACGTTTAATTTTAAATCAAGCACATACCATATTTGGATGCATGATATTGTGCGCAAGCTTGAAAATAATATAATTGTCAAATAAAAACAATCTTTAATATTTCAGATTGCATGCCATTTGTGCATCAAAATATCGAATGAAGCCTTTTGTATATTATATATTATGCATAAAGCTTCGTGACGTTGACATATAGCCCAAGTCGGTATAGCTTTGGGTGAAATGCATTAGGCCGTCTATACGGCGAGGCAGAGATTCGAGTCTGTCAAAAGTCAAGGTGTGCCCATCACGTGGAGTAGACGGAATAAATGATTTTCTAATACTTATAGGTACGGTTTAAAGGAGAACTATTTCTTTATCTCTATTACAATGGTATTATGTACCACTGATTCCAGAATTATAATGGTATGAAGATGCAAACTATGCACTTACCGTCACATCTTAACAAGCTCACAGAGATCGCAGTTACTGCTAGATATAAGATATACTTCCACTGACAGTTCCCGGGGAGTAATATACGCATCTCAACTCTACAGTCACATTGTCATGTGGTAATCGATTGGCACGCGAAAGGAATTCCGGGCGTTTAATTGGAATTTGTGTGTGAAGCGTAGTACAGTATATCTCATTATCTGCTATAACCATACTTAGGGAAACGGTAGCGTCGTATAATACGCGGCTTGCCTGCATCGTTCTCTAATGACTATAATATCCGATTCGAAAATACCCGATTAACTACTAAATATGGATAACATAACTACTATTACTACTACACATTATATGAAGTAATCGATTATGATTGCGATAGAAAAATAATGTTACTAATCTTTCTTTTAAAATATTTCTTCTCAGTTGGATTTTAAATGAAAAACTTATGTTGAATTAAACTTTATATGAAATAAATTAAAAAGTATCGAAACCAACTTGAATGTGTACCTAATTACGACTTTATAAATTAATAACTTTAGCGATTAGTATCATTAAGGAAGACTGGAAAGGAAATTCATATCCAATATTAAACAGTTTTATTATCAAAATTAAAAATTAAAATTAATGCTCAAATAGAAGCAAAAGAAATCAATAACACATAAATAAAAAAAAGAAGATGCGATATAATCTTTTCACATTTGGAATAGTTAACTGCTTTTTTTGCTTAATCTCTCTCTCTCTCTCTCTCTCTCTCTCTCTCTCTCTCTCTCTCTCTCTCGTCAATTTACGATTGATTTCTACTAGAAATGGATTAGAAAACGTATTTTAAGAGCAACATTGACAGTAGTTTTCGGAGTAATTCTGATGATAGAAGATGACTATCGTACACATTGAGCAGATGCCCATCGGCGCGACAACCAGGAAGGAATTCCATCCCATAAGTAGCGGACCACGCTTAATTGGAATTTATGCTCGTAGTGGTACATAAGCCACCCTATAGACAGGCACGTTGTACAGCACGGTAGTTGATAGGAAACGCGGTAGCACCGCGTAACGAGTTAGCACAAGTAAGCGAGAGATGACGAGAGATGAAGGGGGTGGAAGAGAGAGAAAGAGAAGGGAGGGAGGGAGGGAGAGAATGTCGAGAGGGTGCCTTCTCGTGGCCCTGGCGGCTCGCAATCGATAGCCAAGCGGCAGTTGGAGGCGTAGAGGTCGGTGCGAGGGTCGATGATGAAGAGAGAAACAGAGAAAGAGCGAGAGCGAGAGCGAGAGAGAGAGAGAGAGAGAGAGAGATGTACTGAATCTCTCTCTAATCGCTTCCACGGAGACTACCTAGTTAAATAGATGCATGTCCGTAGCTAGAGAGAAGCGTAAGACCTATTTAAAACAAACTCAGATCTGCTAGGTTCAACCGTGACTTTTCACCACTTTTCGATTAACTCTCAAAAATAAAGAAACCTTTTCTAAGCTTTTCGATAAATACCGACTTTAAAATACAATTTTAATAGATGATATTACAATTAAATTTTCCAGCTAAAATATTCATTAACACAATTGAGTCATTTTTAATATAAATAAACAGCTAGAGGAACAATAATCCAAAAGCATTAATTGAAAGTGTATGGAAAATATGAAGAATTTTAAACACCGATTTTCCACTTAATCATCGAACTGGAAGTTTAGTTAAAACGATCGAATAAAAAACGACAACAATGTATCAAGTTATGCGGTTAATGATGTAATTAAGGTGAATCAATGGGAAAGGACGCCGAGCGCGAATGCCTAATTAGGTATCTATCGATCAGTGTTCTGCGCAATCATTATTTAGATATAACGACAGTTAAATTTTTATTAAAAATTTTATGTTAATCCTAAGATGCTTTTGTGGTTTTATACAGGAAAGGAGCAATATGCATAATTCATAAATGTACAGAATGGAAAATCTATGCCTGAAAATTTTCCGAACTCAATCGATATTTTTATAATAGACTCTTGGATGAATTCTGATCCGCTTTTTTGGAGGAAAAGAAAGTTATTTTTGGAAAGCGTCATAGTTTTTTACGATTCTTTTAAAAAATATGAGACAACAGAACATGATAAAGTTGAGACATTGTGTAGAATGGTACGAGACCGTGTTTAATCTCCGCATTCATCGAGTGATAGTTAAAGTTGTAATCTTGTTGATTCTCCGCCTCTTTCGGAATTTTCCTTGTCATCGAAAATCTGATTTATCTTGCTGATCCAGCCTTGCAACTCGTAGTGAATAATAGAAGATGCTGGCCCGAATGAAAAATAGGACAGAAAACGACGATTTCAACTCAGATTTCTCCCAGAATTTCCCTTTCCGACGAAATTATAGATAGACGAATGCAGATACTTATATATATCGTTAAAAATTAAAATCCATTAAAAACAATAATATACATATAAGTAAGTAAAAGAGAAAGAAGAGAATACATACAAAATAAACGATTTTTAAAAAATTCAGATAAATTTACTCATAATAAAAGTCCGTATTAGAAAAGTTAAGAAGTAGTTTAATAGTAAGTTTATTGTAAGTCCCGGTTAAACACATATGTGCTTAATCGAGATCGAGATCGTGATCGTGATCGTGATCGTGATCGTGATCGTGATTACAGGTCAAGCAGCCTCGCACCGGGTGGATGGCGACGACGACGGTCGTAGGACGGCGACGGTAGAACGACGTTAGAACGTTACCGCTTGCGGCTGCAGTTGCGGCGTCATCGGTCGCTGCACCTGCAGCTGCGGCGGTGGCGGTGGCGGCAGCAGCGCAGGTGGCCGCGGCGGCGACGATATAATCAGAGGACGAAACGATGCAGAACACCGGCGACTATTATCAAAGGGCGCCGAGATGTTGTCCCGGTAGAAGTGGCAACAACAACAACAACAATAGCGCGAGCGGCATCGCGGGCGGATCGGTCCGAGGCGCGGAACTGCTCTGCTGTTGTTGCAGTTGCAGCACCGCTACCTCGACCAAGACTCCGGGGCTGCTGGCGAGCCTTGGCGTGTGTGTACTCGTCCTTGGCTACACCCTGCTCGGCGCGTTCGCCTTTATGGCCCTCGAGGGAGGCCTCAAATCGGTGAGCGGTCGGAGAATCGACGACAATTAAATCGCCTCATCCCAGTACGAACTTAGACAACGTTCGACGTCGATACTCGGAATTAGCTGATTCCGACAATTATAAAATAAATAAAGACAAAATTAATGTCAATCGAATGATCGGCATTTATCACATATCATCGCGTCAGCATTGACCCTGACTATCTGACTTGTTTTATTCTAGAAATTTGACTCTTAAACTGAAGATGATAAAAATAAAACAAGACTAAGTTTTCCAATTAAACATACGTTTACACGTTTACGTAGAAATGTAACATTTTCGTATTTAACGATTAACGCTAATCGATATCGAAGCACTTGACGCTAAAAATTGTTTGGAAAAAAAAGATTAACCGAAACGAACCGATCAACTGAACGGCAAATTGCTGTTGACGTGATTGATCGCTTCACGATTTCGATTCGTTAATCACGCAGGGATAATGATGACATCTGTGCTTCTCTTTCATAGGATTCACTAACCGAGGTTGCACCCTCGAAACCTGATGGAGCTTCCTACGTGCCGCCCAACCTGGAGAATGACTCCGCCGCCACGGAATTGAGAGCACGCACGGTGGAGAAACTGTGGAGCATCACCGAGGATCTCAACGTTCTTTACAAGGAGAATTGGACTCGTCTGGCGGCCCGAGAAGTCCTCGAGTTCCAGGAGAATCTAGCTCGCGGCCTCAGGCGCACCTCGTACGAGCAGATGCCACCGTTACCTCCGCGGTCCCGAGACCATCACAGCGCGGATAGACGGCTGCACAGTCGACGATGGACTTTCAGTAGTAGCCTGCTGTATTCTCTGACGTTGATCACGACAATAGGTTCGTCCAAATTCAGATGGTCGCGTTGGAAACGCGAAAAGGTCATCTCTCGACTCGCGCATATTGTTCGGCAAACGTGCCCGTTACGTGCTCGCCTCGGCGCACTCGGCACAGTCGGCACAATTAGCCGAGACATTATTAACTCATAGCCACGAAAGTCTTGTACTTGCTTTTCCCATGTGACATAGATCCCGCGAAATGTAGAAACAACGGTTTCGGTTTCAGGATACGGTAGCGTAGCGCCACGCACAGTCTGGGGCCGACTGATTACTATAGTCTACGCCTTGGCGGGAATCCCGCTGATGTTGGTCTACCTAAGCACAGTGGGCGACGTGCTCGCCCGAAGCTTCCGTCGTCTGTATGGGCGTGTGTGTCGGCAGCCGCGTAACTGTGCGCGAAAGCAACAACCGCCGCCGCCACCACCGCCAGTCGGCGGCATAATGGCCAAGGCATATCGCTACGACAATCACGTGGAGACCAAGGGAAGTGGCAACTACTACTCGGCAAGCAGGGAAAGCTCATGCGACGATCTGGGTATCCGTGGCACTGGCAGTGCGATCCTGCTCGACTGCGGCAGCGAAGGTCTTTTGCACGCCACCACCAGTTCGACAGCCGCGCTCCAGGTAATGCTGTAACGATTATTGTCAGAAAAATCTTCTCTCAGAAATGTTAAAAAAAAATTAATATCTTTCTCATCACCGCGACATTGTGATATTGTGATATTTATTCGAAAGTTCGCACTAGAAAATGCATGCTCCAAAATTATAATTCCGACGAGAAATGGCCATCACTCCATCACTCCCTGTAACTCGTAAAGAAATAATTATTAGAAAAATTATATATGCCATATACAACTATAATTAGAGTTGTTACATCTACTTTAACATGATCTACTTAACATCTACTTTAACAATCAACTCGATCACATACGACACGTATCTTACTTACGTCACGTATCTTTCATATCGAATCTTTCTCGTCACACGGGCTCAGGATGTGACAACGGGCAACGGCAAGCGGCATTTTCATCCGTGCTCGCTGTCCTTATCATCGACCTCGTCACCGGCGTACATGCTAGAGGCCAACCCTGTCAGGATACCGATCAGCCTGTGCCTGGCAATAATGCTGGTGTATATATGCGGCGGCGCGGTCATGTTCAACCGTCTGGAAGGTTGGAGCTTGTTGGAGGGCGGGTACTTTTGCTTCACCAGCCTTGGCACGATCGGCTTCGGAGACCTGATGCCGGTGGGACGTAACGCGCCCTCGACCACCCTGGAGGAGCTCAGCCTGTGCGCCTGCTCGCTCTACATCCTCGCCGGGATGGGCCTGATCGCCATGTGCTTCAACCTCGTCCAGGAGGAGGTGGTACGCGTGGTCAGGGTCTTCGGTAGAACCTGCGGCATGTCGTCGGGCGTGGTGGTCGGACCTATCGGTGGTACAGGTATCCCTGATGAAGGCATTCGGTGGGGAATCAACGATGAGAGTCTTCCACGAGAAATATAGAGAGAGAGAAAGAGAGAAAGAAAGAGAGAGAACATCGTGAACCGTTGATTATTTTGGCGACCGTCACGCACTTGTCGCGTTCAAAAACTGCAGCGACATATACAACAGTTCTGTAACAATAATTAGTTAACTCAATACCAAATCGATAGATAAATGCATCAGTCAGACGTAATCGCTACGTTGCGAGATAGTTTTATCTTCCGAATGCCCCGTTATTTTACGTAGTAAAAGTTGTCGTATTACCAATGCCAATCGCGACCGAAAAAAAAAACACTGAGAATTTCCGAAAAGTACGATCGAAAAACAACAGCGCGGTTGTACGACCGTCGAAACGAGTGGCAGTCACGAGTCACGCGTGGTCCCTCTCTTTTTCTTTACAGCAAGCGCCACTTCCGGTCTCAAGGCCGACCTTGATGATGGAGGCGGCACCAGCGACTCGCGATTGTCTGAACAAGAGGAGGAGGCGATCGCCATGTCGATGGTGCCGGCCGGTTCCTGACAGCATCAGGCCAGGAGCTCCGGCGACGGCAAGCTCCTGGCCCACCCCTCGAACACTGCCATAAAGTTGTCGCCAGGCCATCATTCGCTGCCGCGCAAGAAGACGTTGCCGTTGGACGCCGCCGGAAAGACGGCGAGCAACTCGTCGTCCTTAGGCGTCAGCGTTCAACAACAACAGTTTCAACGCGGCCAGCCGTTGAGAAGGAGCTGTTTGTCACCGACGCAGCATCATCATCATCATCATCATCAGCAGCAGCAGCAGCAGCAACAGCAACAGAAACAGCAACAGCAACAGCAACAACAGCTGCCTCATCATCATCATCATCAACACCGACAGCAGGAGAATTCGTTGCATTTTGAATACTTTGTGCCGCGCAGCGTTAGCGAGTTTAATCTCGCGGCCGTCGTGACAGACATGGCGGTGCCGCCACCACCTCCTGCGTCGCTTCTTAGGCCTTCCTCTGCAATCACGCCATCGGTCGCCACCACCAGCCAGACACGATTGCTGGACGGTGGCAATGGAGGTGGTTGCAATACCGCTACTAGAAGTCGTGAGAAAATGGTTACGTTCGAGGACGAAGGGGTCAGTTGCGGCATCACCTCGACACCCACCAGGAAGAATTTGCCCACCTTAGATAATATCTTTATGTGACGTGTGCCGCAGATTTCACAGATGTTGAAGCTCTTATTGCTGTGGATGGACGAAAGTCTCGGAATTTCTACACCTCGAGTCTAAAGAGACAAACAACGACAAATACCTAGTCGAAAGAAATTTTGGAAGAATAAATGAATATGTGATTGGGTGTGATGTTAACAATTGAGAAATATCGGCAGGGAATTGTTAATCTGATGATTAGCGAGAAGTCCTTCAATGTTTTTGTCAAAAAGAGAAAAAGAGAAAGAATTGCCCGTATTCCGGACCGAATACATAAATTGAAGAACAGAGTGGTTGATATCAAAAATTAAAAATAGAGTCGTGGAACATACTTAAATAGTAAAGAACAAAAACACATACTCACGATTTATATAAATTCCAATTGAAAAAACAGAAAGAATACGAAAAAAAACAAAGAGAAACGAGATGACAGAAAGATATCGACAACCGTTGCAAAAGATTGCATATCTGTATAACAATATAACGCGATGACCTCTTTGCGAAAAAACTAGCAAAGGAGTATTGCAAATACTAAACGTAGCGGAAGGTGTGAACAATGTTAACACAATTGATAAAGAAAACTCTAAACAAAATCCGACATTAGGAAATATTTTGTTCTCCGATACAACTGTTATCAAAAAAACATTTAATATGAGTTTTCGGCACTAAAAACTTTTTTCTCATTACCTGCACACGAGAAGAGATTGCCTAAATGATAGTAAAATCCAAAACGATATTTATCATCTGACATCTGACAGACATTCTATTTCTGTAAATATTTTTTAAACATTGTTGGGACATATTTGTGTTGTTTTTAGAATCATTTTTATGTCTAACAAATTTTTTAAGAAAGCTATAATATATATTCCACTTATTGTTAGTTTTATTACATATTTTAATTTGCGATGAATATAAAACGCATAGAAACTATATAAAAGCGAGGAATAAAAGACAAATACCAAGTAAACACTCGAAAAGACAAGAGAAAAACATTTGAGATTGAGATGTTATAATCGACAGATATAACACTGAAGAATTTTTCATAATAATGAAAACTTCTTTTCGGCCGAATTTCGACTGTATATTTCTCATTATTGATCGAATCGTAATTATCGTTGCGCGCAGCGTAGATTATCTGTCGAGTATTTGAATTTTATGTCCGATAAGTCCGATTGTATTCCGAATATTACACGAATAGTTTGTACATATATTCAAAAAATATATTGAATAATTCTAACTTGTACAATTACCCTATCATATATTAATATGATATTTATTATTTATGTGTGTGTGTGTGTGTGTGTATACACACACCCCTATAATAATTGAAAGATGTCTTATGTTATTCTTTTTTAATTTGTATAACGCATCATAAATTTTATTTCATAACGAATTAAATAATTTTAGACCAATTTTTTATTCTTTCTTAGTAGATATACATATATATATTTATTTATACCATATCTATATACTTACAAGATTTATGTTATCTTCTTATAAGAAAAAAAAAATTGAAAATATAAAATCACAAAAAATCGATACATTAAAGTTGAACGAAGAATGATTCACGGTAAGTTGATTAGAATTACTTTAGTAATTAAGATGTATACAATAATTTTTTGTATAAGTAAAAACCGATATCATTCAGTTGTTAATTCGAAATATTGAAATATATAATTGGCAATTTTTTAATTACCCAATTAGTGGATATACTTATTGCGCAAGATGCATATCTGTTACGTCATATGCGCACTGTAATCGTCAACTGCAGTATTTGATAAAACGCTATTTGGTTTATATAATATCCGTGCATCACATTAGGCGGAAGATTGTTGTATCAGTGCAGTCAATAGTGTCATCATTGAATAGCACAGATATAAACCAAATACTTGGCGTTTTACCATCTCGAAAAGTGGATGCGGCTACGTAGTTTCTACGTCCACGGCAAAATGGATGTGATCGTGATACCGCTGCGAATCAGCACAAATTAGGGATCCTTGAGGGATGGGACAAAGCCGCCATTAATGGGAGCGGAAGTGATGGCAGGCATATTACGCGTCATTTTTTAATAAAACAAAATAACTATCAAAAATATGTCTACATAAATTCAATTCTAATTGAAGAATTATTTCAATTAAATTGAAGTAAATAAATAAAACTTAATTAATTAAAACAAATTTCGTAAATAGTAACAAACAATAAATACTGATAAATTTAATTTATTACAAAAAGTTAATAAATGCAGTAAATAATGCAATAAATAATTTTTTGTATAAATTTAAAAGTTTTTATAAAGAAAGATATAGGCTCTCTAGATTAACACAATGTAAATAGGAGAAATTGCAAAACCCCTAAAGCGGAGTTTTTTATTGCTGTCAGGCTAGTATTAAATTCCACTTTTTTTATATTTAATGGGAAAATCTATCGACAAACTTTCGGCGTCCCCATGGGTTCTCCTCTTTCCCCCATGGCGGCGGATATAGTGTTGCAAGACTTGGAGACTATAGCTCTCGCTACCTTGAAATATATCTCACCGTTTTATAAAAGGTACATTGACGACATAACACTTGCGGCACCGTCGGTTCTTTTACAGCATACCTTAGGTGTTTTTAACTCCTTCCATCCTAGGCTGAAATTTACCATAGAAATCGGTGAAGACGACACGTTGAATTTTTTGGAGATTACAATGATATTGAACAACAATAGGCTAACTTTTGATTGGTTCCATAAACCGACATTTTCTGGCAGGTATTTAAACTTTTTGTCGCAGCATCCTGCATGCCAAAAAAAAAGGTACGGCCATAGGCCTAATAGATAAAGCATTTTTGTTGTCACATCCGTCCTTGCATGCTAAAAATCTCAGACTGGTCATTGAAATCTTACTCAATAATTGTTACCCATTGGAATTCATCTTTAGAATTTTGCGCAAACGTCTTAAGTTTCTGTTTAACAAAGACTCGAATACGAATGTGAGACAGAATGAAGAGGAGGTTACTCCTTTTTTCACGTTACAAGAGATTTGAATGTGAGACTGTCTTATAACAGCTTAAATAAGATGCGTATATTCATCAAGGCGCACAAGGATAGTCTCCCACGGTCGAATAAATGTAACGTGGTTTATAAGGTGAATTGTAATGATTGCGACGCTTCTTATGTGGGCCAAACGAGTAGGCAATTGCAAACAAGAATCAAGGAGCATCGTAATCATATTAATTGGAGTACTCCGAATCATTCTGTCATAACTGAACACAGATTAGAATGGAATCATGATTTCGATTGGAATAGCGTTGAAATCTTAAATAATGAATCCTATTGTTATAAACGTTTGATTTCGGAGATGATATGCATAAAAAGGCAGGCGAATGGTTTGAATTTACAGACCGATGCGGAGGGTTTACCGGACGCGTATTTAAATGTGATCGAGAGGCTGTCTAAAATTTAGAACAACTTTATGCGAGAGTTTATCCCCTCCTCTGGTTTATACACCAGTCTCTATTATGTTAACCTTCCCACCTATGCCTCACTCATTTGCGACGCCGCGCCGCGACATTTCGAACCGTGAAGTTTGTTGTTACAATGCGATATTCTGGTCTGCAATTGCTCTGTAAGTAAATCCATTAGTCATCTGATTTTAACATAGATAATTTATGCCTTTACCACATTGCGACTCCGTTTGATGGTACAGGTAGGGCTTTCGAATCTTTCTTACCCACCTGGTCTTTCAACCTGGCGAGATTATTTCTAAGATGCGAGGGATGTGGAGCGAGTGCTTACGTATCTGGAATTTCGGCAACGGTACATCCATAGGATTTCAATCCTTGTTTTT